GGGGGGGGGGGCGCTCGTGGGAAATGATGCGGACGTGAGTCGTGACGTATGGCACGCGGGAGAAGGTGCGCGAGCACCAGGAGATAGGACACGACAGCGCTCTACTCGCTCACGGTGGGTGCCGCTCCGCCGCTCCGTCCGCTGCGCACTGAACACACACGGCGGCGCCCGATAGCAAACGGAGGACAGCGCCGCTTCCTCGGGATACAGGACCCCAGATCAGTCCCACACCCGGCAAATCGTTCTTAGAAAAAGTCAAAATGCGTTGAATAAGGAATAAGAAATTTCGAGGAAACTTTTTTTTTTATTAGTTAGAGGACGGATTAATTTTAAAAAAAATTACGTTTTATCAACGTTTTGACCTTAAAAACAAAAAGAATTCCTTAAACCAAGGCTTTGCCTTGTATTTTTGAAACGAAATTTGCTTCATTCAATTCATGTTCATACATTTTCTGGAGCATACCGGTTAGAACGAGAGCTTTCCCCTGGACCCTAACAGGGTGAGACGAGATGCCCGGCCACGGACAAGTCAGCTTGACGATAAAGAATCCCATGGTTATAAGCGCTCAAAACTTTTCAGCGCCATTGCGCCACTCACGCTCGACACGTCGTCTCGCGTGCACAAGGTCGCTCTGGGGGCGTCCGCGCGGGAGAGCGCGCCCGGAGAGCGCCAGCGAGAGCGGGCGAGAGCAGCGCGTCGCCATGGTGCCGTGCAGCGCGCCGAGCAGCGGCCGAGCACCTGTTGCAAACCGCACTCTTCTTCATGTTCAGGCGGCGTTCGAGTGGCGCTCGGGACAGCTGTCGGCGCGGAGCAGACGCAGCGCGGCCCCGGCGGCCCCGGCGGCGCTGGTCGGCGCCCCCTTCGGCCCCCAGCTCGGCGCCCCCTTCGGGGTGACGGCGCTCGTCGGCCCCTGGCGCAAGTCTGACGTCGTGGCGGCGGAGGCCGGCGACTCGGCGACCACCACGCCGGCAGCCGCCTCGTCCAGCAGCCCGGAGGAGGTGAGTCCCGACGGCACCCAGAGAGTACGGCGGCTGCACTCACCGTTGCGAAGCTGTAAAGGTCAGCCTAGCGCCTGATGGGTAGGCAACATCTCATCTTCAGTGCTCGCGTGTACTGCGGGATGGCCTACCCCGAGTCTCGCAGGCGTTAAAGCCAGCGTAGTCTGCCGTTTCATGCATCTGAGAACAACGGACGTACTTTCTACTTTCTGCACGATCATATACTTTGGTAATTTTGGCCACTGCAATTTTACGCCGTCTACTCGTTTCTCATTTCATTCAGACTACCACCGAGGAGCCGTACGAGAGCGGCGACGAGGGCAGCGACTTCGGCTCCGACATCCTCAACACGCTCCTTGAGGTCGTCGGAACCCTCCTGTCGTTCTTCAGCGACCCGCCCGGCGCCATCCAGAAGATGGTGGACCAGGCCAAGCAGCTCATGGGCGGGGCCCGGTCGCTCATGGCCACGGTAAGGGCGCAACGCCAGGCGGGCGCCCCCATCCCGGACGGCGTGGGCGGCATGGTGGAGCAAGTCAAGAAGCTGGTGGACGTGGCCATCGAGCTCGCTGCACTGGTGAGGTGCCCGCTAGATACCCTTGCTCCTGACACGCCCCCCGCTAGCTCGTCCTCGTCCCCGCACCCAGAAAACCGCTCCCTTGGGGGAGATAAATTTTATTTACTTTTACGAAAATTCCGTGCCAGAAAACCAAAGTCGCAACTTTCGTTTAGGTAAGAAAAGTATGCATTTCAGGAAACGAAAAGTTTTGTCACATCGAACAATATTTTGTGAAGCGGCGAACATTTACTGGTTACGGCAAAGTCATGATTTCACGGTCCCGGAAAGATACGGTTTTCTGAGTGCGCCTCCATCCTCGACGCCGCTCTATCGTCCCCTCTGCCCTAACTTTCCTCCGCCACCGTCGTCCATACCCGCGTAAACTAGGCGTCGCGCGGCCTTCACGGCGTAGGGCAGGCATCATTAATTCAATGAGCCTCGAGGAAGCGCGTGCGACTTTACAATCATGATTCTGTAATGGAGACGCGTGACGGACGGGTTGACGTTGACGGTGTTGTGTCGCCAGGGGCCGGCGGGCGCGCGGCAGGCGCGCATCATGCTCACGGAGGCCCAGCGCATCCTGGAGACGGCGCGCGGCATCATGGAGACGACGGGTCGCATCACCAACACGGCGAGGAACGTGGCGCAGAGCATCGCCAGGCCCTGGACAGGCTGACCACAACTTTTAGTGTTGATGAAAATAACACGTATCGCACATATGTCTTTTTTGTAATTGATTAATTAATATAACAAGGTAGACGCACGTTAAAACCGTGTGAAGCTGAGCTAAATGTGCGTCTACCTTGGCCTGCGGCGCGCTAAAATGAAAACGTTATCGCGATTTTGGTTGGCATGCCTGTCCACCTCACATCCCACGACTCACGCCAGGCGCCTCACTTCACGCCGTCTTCCGGGCGGTCTCCCCTTGCGCTTCCTGACAGAGCTGAGCATTTTAAGTTAAAGTTTAATTTCAAGTTCAAGTCAAGCTCAGCAATAATATAAGTTACATTACTATACACTCTAAATGACAAGGTGTGTCCGTGAGCGCATATAGCAGAATGTAACTGATAAATCTAAATAGGAACAATTTAGAGGACAAATGTGTATCTTATGCCGGGAATATAAAAGAAAGTGTCCAGCAAAGGATAGAAATGTGACACTACGGTCCATCATGGTCGTTTCTTAGATTTAATTATTGTAACTTGCAAGATGCGCTCAGAGGTGCATCTTGCAATGAAGAAAAATTGTCCCTTGTCATTAAGAGTGTAGAAGAGCAAGTGGTAATGAGTTCGCAGACTCCCAGTTGAAGCTCTCTCTTCTTGTATACAATGACATACAACAAGTACCATCATTTTCGACTTTTACCACGACATGCGTTTCCCCATTTCCAGTGAACAGCGTAAGCGATAAAGTCGTAGAGAAAACTCATCATCTATGCCGACCCAATCTTCCGAGCGATTCCTTTGGCCGCCTCTGGCGGCACAGCAGCGCAGACGTTTATTAATATCTGTCCCCCGAGCAAACAGACCGATCTGATCTCCATGCGGCCAGACAGACGACGGGGCCACGAGCGCTCTCTCCAGACGGATGTGACAACACTACGTATCGGCGAGAGTGCCACGGGGGGCGGGGGGCAGGCGGAGCGCGGGCGGGGCCTTCGCCAGCCAGCCGCTATTTCCAGCACAGTTATCGTTCACGTTATGTGGTATATGGCAAAGCGGGGGCATCCTCGCCCTCTCCAATAACATTTTTGCTTCTTCTGGTAAAGGTGGACGGGTGTGCCCCCCCCCCCCCCCCCTTCCATGTATATACATGTCAGCGAGACAGCTTTAAAACCCGTCCACACAGCCACGTGGTTTTCCGTCGTCGTCCAATTTAGGGAGTTTCTGCTCTTGAGGTCGCGGGCCATGCCCTACCCTACCCTCAGCCCCGCACACGATGCTGTGGCCGCAAGCACCACGCCCGCATCTCATGTACGCACGTACACGTGTACACATACACACACTTACACACACACTTACACACACACACACACACACACACACACACACACACACACACGGGCCATTCGTTGTGGCGGGGCGGGGCGGAGAGGGCCATAGCGGGGCCAACGGTAGCGCCGGGCCCCGTAAGCGCGAAACAGCAAACCAAGAGGAGCACGCCCGCCCCCGCTGACGGATGGCATTTAATTTAGCCCCTGCCCAGCGGCGGCAAGCTCCGGAAGGGTTGCCTACCCACCACAAACATATCTGTGTGCCCTTCAGGGCCCCGGCCCCGCCCTGCTTCTGCCCTGCTCTGCCCTCCGCCCGGCCCGCGCGCTCTTGTCCCAATTTATTATCAGGGACAACTTAATCTGCTGGCGGCGCCGGCGGCTCCTTCACTCTCATCCTGCCCACAGCAGCAACATCATGAGAGTGCAGCACCACAGCCAACCCGGCCGGCAGTGGCGGCACCCTCGGCCCGGACCGACAAGGTGCCGGGGAAAGTCTGGACACAGTCCAGGAAATAGAAGGCAAATATGTTCGTGTTTCGCTTTTTGGAAAATGTGCAAGTTTGGATCGTACCAGAAACAACAAACTCGCAAAGCGGTAAAATTCTGGGAGAATCAGCAATACACGCCATGTTGCAATGTGTGGGTAATGGCAAATTCAAAATAATACGTAATTTGCTTTTTTAAAACCTTCAAGACTACAAAAACACTTAGCCTGCAAGGTTTTGAAATTGAAACTCCTTCTACTCCTTGACTCTAAAACCACGGTAAGAATTAACGCACAAACTCATGGACTTTGTTTTACTATATTATCGTATCGTATCTGCCAGAGTTACGCTCCTGTGCCTTTTCTGGCAGAGCCTCATCCTGAGCGCCCCCACGTCTCGGGGCATAAGCCGCGCGTCCCGGGCTGGAGCTATGGGAAACCTATAGGAAACCTATGGGCAAAGCCATGAGGTCGCGCATCGCCGGACGGGTTCATGGTCTCACGGTCGCTGGGGCGAACGCGACGCTCAAAGTTTTACGACGGGCCGATTGAGAACGGGAGTCCAGAAGAGGGGGGTGTGGGAGGGGGAAGTATGGAGAGAAAGGGAGGGGTGTATACAGAGAAGGAGAGGAATAAGGAAGGGCAGAGGAGGCAATAGCGGTGCGCGCAGAGCTACAACAGCAGCCACCGCGAGGCGCTAACAGCTGTGAAAAAAGAAGGGGAGGAGGCAAAAAGATGACGGAAAAACAGGCTGCAGGCCTGGCTGGCACCCTGGCTGATGGCCCGGGCCGAGCTAGCTGCCCGACTGCCCGTCCAGCAGCGGCTATCTCGCGCACGGCATCGCACATGGGAAATAAAAGCTGTGGCAGAGATGAATCCCGCCGACCCCGGGCCTGACCTGCCTGCCAGGGGCTCTGTTGCGACCCCTGGCAACGCCAGCTAGCTAGTCCAGCAGCTCGGCACCACCGACCGCGCGCCACGGACCATTTCACTAGACGAGGTAAATGTGGTGACACTAACGCAACGGAAAACAAAAGTCAATGAAAGTTGTTTGCGCAGTAGGGCAACAAAGTTTTTAAATTAGTGAAAATTAATAATTGAGCACGCTGCTCATTTGTCATGACTCACTTATATCTAAAACAGAGGTGGTAAAATGACACACTTACAAGTGTTTAACACTGCGTGTAGAATACTTGCAGGTGTTGAAGACCACCTTAGAGTGTGCGTTCACTCTTCTTACCACGAGTTTGACTGGAAAGCTAAACCCTCTTAAATAATCAAACTTCCCAGACCAACTATTTTTCCTTGTTTTTAGCAGGTGGTACCTTATAAACCCTTTAACCAAACATAAGTAACTTAAAGGTTTCAGCTTGCTTTTACTCTCGATACGGAAAGAGAACCAAGCAGGCTAACAACACTACGCTGGGCAGGCGTGAGCCAGCAGCAGGAGCAGGCCCTCTGCCCAACAAAACTGGGCCGCTGACCCGACCACTCTGCCCCCC